ATCCTGAACTGTGTAGGTGTGTGATATTTAAAAAAAAAAAAGATTCTTGTAAACATGCCTCTGTATTTGCGGACTGAGGAAGGGAAGGAAAGGAGAACTGGAGAATGGAGGAAGGAATTAAAGGAACAGAATGACGGCCGTGTTCAGTATTTATGTGAATCCATGCTTATAAATAATCCAGTGTGTGTTCCCCTACTTCTTTCCATGCAATAGAGCTGCTGTATTAAGTTATTTCAGATGCCTTGGGCTTTGTAAATAAAAGTCCTATTTGTGGACTGATTTAAGTGACTGTAAGCTGGAATACTTTAGAGGCTGAGCTCACCATCAACTCTCCTGACAGAGTTCATCAGGAAAAATGTTGAGCGACTATTAAAAAGAAAAGTCTGGTTCTTTGTTCCAATTCAAAGCCAGGACAAAAGTGTTTGGAGAGAATTTAATTACAGTACAACAAATACAATATTTGTTTTTATTTTATTCTTTCATTTTTGTGACTGTCGCGTGTTAGAAGCATCATCAACCCCCCACTCGCTCCAAAACATAGTTACAGAAATAGTTTGACATTTTGGGGAAAAACATTTATCTGAATCATTGTTGGGAGTTTGTTTAGAATTCAAGGAAGACCTGGCAAATACAAAATTAGCACATGGCGCTAGGCAGGTTCTTTGCGAGTGGTATCAATATCAGTAGCTGTGATTTGTGCCTCTGAGCAGCTTCTTCTCAATTAGCAATAATATCCATAGTTGTTACCGTAGAGATTACCCAGCAGACACCTGTGTTGCTGTGTTGACAGTCATTTAAGTAACAACAAAGATACTTTACATCCAACAAATGACCTTTATGACCTCTAATACATTTTGTTATCATATAAAATATCCAATGAAAGTGAATAATGCCTCACACAACCCCACACAGCCTCACGGGGCGTCGTTAGATCTCGCTTTGTTTTGTTTTTGTGTCGGTTGAAGACAGTGACTGTATTTAACTGCAACCACACTGAGATGAGAGGAGCTCATCTGCTGTGCGCCCTCCGATGATGTCACGTAAGGTTGTGTAATCCTTGCCTCACATCTTCCTTAGCCCTCACCTTCCTCTCTCCTTTCATCCCTCCGTCTCTTCTCCTCTCTGTTGATTCCGGGCTCACTTTTTGTCTCTCAATTTCCTTATGTTTCTGCACCTAATCTCTTACCCAGAGTCCTCCTGCCTGTCCTCTCTCTCTCGCTCTCTCTCTCTTTCTCTCTCTCTCTCTCTCACTCGCTCTCTCTCTCTCTCTGTGCAGTTTGTCCTTCAGTGTCTATCGTCCTTCCTCTAAATCCTCCTCTCGCCTTGTTTTGCCTCAGCCCGCTGCTCCCCCTTCCCCAATTCCTCATTCCTCTCCTTTTTTCTTGCTGAACGTTGCGCTCCCTCGCTCTGTCTGGCTGTCCCCGGTAATCAAACACAGGCGGTCAGACACAGACAGGATGTGAGGTCAGACAAGGAGAGGAAGTGAGGGTGCGTGGGCAGCACATAAACAGAAGAGAGAGGAGGTGAGGGACACTGAGGACAGAGAAGTGTGTGTGTGTGCGTGTGGAGTTGAAATGGGAAGAGATTCAGTTTCTGTTTCAGCGTCAACTCTTTGTGGTTCTTTTCCGTATTAAACACTTAAACAGCTGGACTAAACAGCCACAGCGAGTCATAACACTCAGCGGTGAGGTGAAGCAGTCGTGTTTTTCAAACGTTATTCCCGTTCTCCTGAAATATTAAATAAATCTTCTGTCACAAACTGAGTTGGTAAGTTAGCCAATGTGTTTTCAAATCTCATATGCAGTGTAGAAATGTTGGGGCCGTAACCAGCAGAGCAACGTAACCACGATTCAGAACAGAACCAGTGATTCACTCTTAAATAAAACAGTTTAACCAAAGTGGACGACCCCACTCCGCCTCTTGAAATAAATTAAAATACAGAGAATATGTTCATCTAGTGTAGAAGAAAACACGAGAGAAGAACAGAAATACACTAAAACACAGAAAGGAGGTCGGAGCTGCTGCAACTACAGCGGTGCAATCTCTAAAACAGTGATCACAAATTTTCTCTCTATATAATATATATAAATTAAACATCTCTGAGTCAAATAACTCCTCAGCAGCCAATTTCCAAAACTCATCGCCAAAACTGTGAACTCTCAGAAACACCGTTCATCAGTCTGGGTTATTGTTTGATTCTGAACAGCTGTTGTTTGCTGAACGTGACGGCTGCAGCGATGCGGTCATGGAATCCTCCTCTTTTCTTAGCTGCACTTGACAAGTAGCTACAGGACGGCAGCGCTAAACGACCCATATTCTTCTTTTTCTCTCAGCTGTGATTAATGGGTGGAATAAGCTGGGTCAGCCTATTAGCTGACAGAGCTGCTCACGTCTGAAGCTGTGAGTCAGGGTGTGATTTTATTCCATAAAAGAGAAAAGTTCAGCTCGGTCCAAATGGATGAAAGGGGATAAACGTGAAAAAAAAAAAAAAAAAGTGCACTAATGAGCCAATGTGTCTATAGCAGTGATGCAGAGTGTCTAGTTCACCTCTTGAACTCTCCCAACACACACACAGACACGCACGCAGACGAACACGTGCGCATGCATACACAGTAGTTTAACTACCCTCCTCATATCACCCATCACCAATCTCCTGTAACCCGATAGTGGGACAAGAGACACACACACAAACACACACACACACACACTCGCAGTTTCTTTGTAACACACACACGGAGGTCAAGTTGAGGCTGTGCTTCCATGACATCACTGTTGCCATGACTCATAAGTGTACCCCCAGGCACAGTAAGGCTCTCTCCTCCACAGAATCTGTCAAAGGGACTTAGCTACTGACACATACAAACACACACACACACACACACACACAAACTCATTCAACACTTGCTCTAAATATATAGTGACGTTTGAAACACAAACTGGTTTGTCTTTGTTCATGTATGTGCAGTTTGTCGTCGTTAGTCTTGTATCACAGTAACGCACTTAGATTTGTGTTGCTGACACACACACACACACACACACACACACACACACACACACACACACACACACTCACACACAGTGTCCAGTGTGATTTACTGTGTCAGACTCAGATGGAGAAAGCAGACCTCCTCTGGTTGGAAAAATCTCAACTGCGAGGATCACACAGGCGGGAAACTTCCATTCGCCACACACATGCCCACACATGCACACGCCCACACGCTCCCCATCAAAGCCACCCTGAGGGCAGTGTATGAAATACCCAGTGTCAATTAATGATAATGTGTTATTAATAACAATAACAAAGTAAATATCACTTTTACCCAGATGTCTTTGCTGTGCGTGTCACGTCTTGTCTCGTGTTTTGTGTTGGCAGTTGTGCGTGCTGCAAAAATGAGCTGTATACCTGCCTACCTGATACTGGACTCTCACATTACATGACAGACATCTAACAAGTGACCTTTATAACCTCTTTGGCCGCTATTGCTTTATAACTACTGATTATGTTCATTGTTTATTCATGTTTTTATTACTTTTTCAACTAATTTCTTAGTAATTTACTGTATAAAATGTCTCTCACAGCCACATGCAGCAACTTTAGAATGGTTTTTTTTCATTTATCCATTTTGCAACAGTATTTTTACAACCTCTTCTCAACCTCAATCATATCCTGTTACAGACAGAAAAAGCACACAGGGACAAACCAGTAGAGAATTTACCAACACTTACATATGATTTAGAAGAATTACATAAATCAAGATTATCAAATTTGATAATTTAAATCTTTGCACCCTGAAAATGACAAATAAAATACAGTTCTATTGTGTAAAGAGAGAAAAACACATAATCATACACATGTGATAAGCTAGAGCTTGTTGTGGCAGCGTTTTTGCATCATTAATCAGTTGATAACCAAAATCATTAATAGAAATAAAATAGTAATATTACTGCTGAGTTTCAGTGGGTACATTTTAATTATCTGGTGTCGTACAGCATGTTATTATATTCTATATTAAATATTATAATGCCGTTTTTCTGTGAAAGTCCAGCATTATAATATGCAGTCATTACTCAGATAATAGCTTTATATTCAGTATCATCTCAGGCATAACAAGTCGTCCTGCAGAGCTACAACAACACAGCTGACGTCACGTCATTCTGTGGATGATTATTCTCATGTGTAGGGACGGTGGATTGAAAATGATCCGTAATAATGATTAGGATAATGATGTCTATGAACTAATGACTCCAGAGAGCAGAATAACCACCGTGGGGTACAAGTCATTATTATACAATATTTTTTTAAAATAGGTGATCCCTCTTTTATTTGCTCCAAGTCAGGAATTTACCACAAATGTTTTTGTGTATGAGCTCTGGATAATTCAGGGATTTTTTTTCCAGGCTGTGTCCTTCATGACTCGATGAGATGAAATAGGTGGAAGAAAATGTGTTGCATCACACGGCATTAGACAACAGAAGAATCTAAGTCTGTCTTGAGCTATTGCTGGGTGTTTTTTTTCCACAGATGACCGAGTTGGATGAGATCTTTTCACAGTCAGATATTAGGGGTGATTAGGGGGTCAAAGTGCATTTAATTTGACTTTTTCTCCTCCCTGTAATCTACATGCAAACCTTGGCAGACCCTGGACAATAATTAGACATAAGTTAGATTTTTTTTAAAAACAAAAAAACATTACATAAAAAATCTCTCCGTAACAATCAACAGCTGTTATTTTGTGTTGTTTTTACTCGGCACTGCCAACATAGTTGATGTGCATCTGTTCTGAAACCGGGGATGACGGAATGAGTCTTTTCTTTTTTTATTGAAAACCAAAATGTGCAGACAGATTGAAAGTTTTGACTCAACCCGTGTCTGCCCCCACGATCTTCATGTGTCACACACACATCGTCAGTCTCTTTTTCTGCTGAATGAAACATTAGACAATCCACTTATAGTTGTGTTTTAATAATCAATGTATTTTTCCTTGTCTCTGTCTCCTCAGATCATGATTCAGAGGGGAAGCGTGTTCAAGACATGCTGTCTACAATCGACAAACCACAGGTTGGTACACATCCCCCCACAGCTACTGCGCACACACACACACACACACACACACACACAAATTCAACCCATTAATAACCACTTTCATAAATCACCTCCATGTCTGGTGCAGTCATAGCTGGCACCAGTTTTGATATCTCTCCCATATTTCCACCCTGTCTGTATGATTAACACAAAAATCAGACGAAGAAAAAAAAAATCTGTTGTGACAGGCTTGTGCAGCTTTATCTTTTTTCCGAGCTCTGCATGCCCTGGCCACACGAGGGCAGCATCTGCTCATCCATTTGCTTCCTGCTCTTCCTGCTGAAAATCACTGTAAACACTGTAACAGCCCCTTTCCTCCCCCCCCCCCCCCCCCCCCCCCCCCCCCCCCGGGGGAATGTGAATGTGAATGAATGAGCTGCAGACATGGTTTGCCAGAGAGGAATCGCTCACTGCCGCTGTTGAAGCGTTGTGGTCAGCAGGCTGTGCAATTGGACCATTTAATATCTGTGGGTTTATATCAGGGGTTGAAATAGAATGTGAGGACGCAGCCACAATAGGGGAGAAAATGGAGAATCGAAAGAGGAGAGATATTATTCCGTACACGAAATAGAGCAGATGTAAATGTACAGTGGTGGTTTATCTACTGTAATTGCCTCAGATTGGCTTTTTCACTCATAGAGCAGCATTACTATAGTTGATGGTCGGAGGGAGAAAAGAGAAAAACAGCAATTTTAAGATGTTGTTCACTGCCTGATAGTTTGTTTGTGTCATAAACTTCATTTTGACTGTGCAGTGACTCTAATGCATTTATATAAGAGGCAGTAGTCTGGAATAGGTCGTATGCGGCAAAACTGTTTATTGATGGAATCTACCGACAGTTATGGTCGCAGGTGTTGCAGAGACGGAGCTTATGTGACAAAGTTCTTGATTTAAAAATCTTATTACGTTGCTCCTCTGGTTGTATTGTGTGCTTTTATATTTAAAAGGTTTCTCAGGAGATCTGGTCTGCACCATTTTAACTCTTTGTGCCTGAAGGAAGGTGCAGCAGTAGCCACATTAGCATGCACGTAGCAGCCTGATCATTGCAGACAGTCACTGTAAAGTATTATGTTACATTAATATTTCTAATCCCATGCTGGCGTCCAAACATAGACTGATTGATGGGTGAATATGCCTCCTCCAAATCAGATTGAGTCAAAGGCCATTCCTCAAACTGATCTCAACCCACCAGCTCTTCAATACAGTCATTTTTATGTATAAATCTCACTGACAGTTGTGGTGGGTGGGCCACTTCACTGTAGGACCCAGAGAAAAACAAACATCTGAATATCTTAAAATAAATATGCACTTTTCTTTAATAAATCCATGATTATTTGGTTAAAAAGGTAAAAGTGTGCTCGGACAGCGCATACGTCCGCAAAGGCTTCGTTGGCATGTTAAAGGTGGAGTAAAAAAAATAATGGATCTACCAGTTTATCTGGATCCACTTCAGAATTTAATGTTTCTTCCTTGGCCACCCTTCCGTTAACTTCTAATATAATTATATGAGTAGTTTTTGCATAATCATACAAACAGGAATTTGTAACGTAAAACTCCTTTTGCGGAGATAAAAATGCAACTCGGGACAAGGTGACAGTTTTTTCTCATTTTGCTGCACTCTGTTATTTTAAACTCACTGTATTAAAGTTCAATTAGAAAAGTGTATCAATAGATTCATGTGTATGACCACATTAATGTAAAGGAATTCAATTGAAATGATGATCCATTACCCTGGACCGCTACTGATTGATTGATTGATTATACAATCTTTCCATTCTGTCCTCATCAGTTGAAACAGATGGGCAATACAGATGCAGACAACATGGATACAACAAAGGTGTACTTCAGTATTTAAAATGACATATTATTTGTTGTGATGCTAATGTGATGTGTGCTCTAAATGCTGCTCTACAGTGAGAATCATAAAACTGAACATTACATTTCTAACATAATCAGATTGTCATTGTGAGTGGGCCAACATTGTGCATGTACATAAAAGCAGCTATTATGTGGGCGAAGAATCAGACAGTAATTAATTTACAAACAATGAATAGAGGATAAGGGATGGTGATAAAGATACGCAGTATACTGTATTACTCTGTGTGTACCATACTAAACAGAATACCCCTCAACTTTCCATGGTCTCTGCGCAACCGTCTGTCACACTTGGATAATTCACAGGCTTCTCTCAGGGTCAAAGGGTCACATGAGAAACAAAATGGTTAACTTGAAAAAACTGAAAACTTCTGGGTATTATTGTCTGCTCTCTTTTCTCTCTGCTTCCTGTCATTTTGTTTGCGTCAAACTGTCTTTGCACGTCAGGTTTTAAATTCCTTCAGATTCACAGAAACGTGATCTCATAAAAACACGCAGGCGGGTGCACAGCCATGCTGTTCAACACACAAACATGGACGCCTCTCTTTTTTTTGTGTCTGTCAGTGTTGATTGTCATGTACCTACCTGGCATGGAAAGAATCTGGAGTAATGCTTTCAAAGACACACTAGTTCACTGTGACGCACACAGACACACTTCAACAGTTAGATATGCATGTACGGTAAAATCACCTTGATTTGATTTTACTAATTTGTTGGGTCCTGAATTAATATTCCCTCGGATAGAATACTGTAAAATATGATATAGTAAAATATGATAAATTGAATTGCCATTAAAGAAAAAATATTTTATCACCCTTTGTTATTGCAAAACAAAAGTTACAGTTAATACAAGGTAAAAATATTGTGTTACATTCAGTGTATATTTTTTGCGTGTGTCTTCAGGTGTCCAATGTGCAGGCGCGGGCTGCACGTCTGTCCTGGGCCCCCCCGGTAGGGCTGGTGAACAGGCATAGTAACGGGATGCCCGTGTCCTGCTCCTACGAGGTCTCTCTCTCGGATAAGGGACGAGATGGAAAGTATCGCCTCATATACAGGTAGGAAGCACAAAGCTAGAAGAACACAGCATACAGACGGAGTTCAGGTCAACTGAAGTGCACGCTTTTCTGTGTTTGTTTGTGTGTTTTAGTGGCGAGGAATTGGAGTACCACCTGAAAGACCTAAGGCCAGCGACAGACTACCACGTACGGTAAGAAAGTGTCTGACCTGACTCACCCGCCTGCCTTTATTTATGTTTTTCCACTCGCACACCTCTTCTTCTCTTAGGCTTCTTTTAAATGAATTTGGTTTTTAATCAAATTTGCCCAAAATTAGTAGAGTGTAACTCTGCAGCTACAGGGTCCACATGAATAATCCTGATATCTGTTTAAAGGTGATTTGGCCCCATCTGTGCCATTTGATTTTTCTCACAGCAGAACTTATTTCATCTCACTTACGTTGTAATGCTGTTTCTGTGTCTTGCTCCAGGGTCTCTGCGATGTACAACTCGGTTCGAGGCTGCTGTTCAGAGGCCGGCTCGTTCACCACGCACTGCAGCGTCCCCGACGTCCCGCTACCCCCGAAATTCTCCCACCGCACCAAGAGCACCCTCACCCTACAGTGGAAGGTATAGCGCCACGGACATCTTTATGCCGAGCCGCCCGTGTTTTAATCTTGCAGACAGCTGAAAAAGCATTTTCTCTCCCAAATAAAAATTACAGTTATTTCAATTTATGGTTTGAATTAATTTTTAATGGAACACACACTATTCTAATATAAATCTAATGCCTCCTGAATTTTATTGACTTTATCTTGAACTACAACTGAATGCTCTGATGAAAGGGTGTTTTCTGTCACCTGGTTTATCTCCTTGAGACACATTCTAGCATCGTTGCACAGGCTCCGTCCCTGTCTGTCCTCTCTGACCTTTCTCAACACAAGCAAATTCTTTTTATCCACTCACACAGCACAGTCAATGATAAAGAGTGACATCAGTCGCCCAGACAGGATATGAGGCCAATCAGAAAAACACGGCAGGTATTTTGTCTGCCTCCATGTCAGAGTCTTTTATCCTCAGCTAATCTCTCCATCTCTCTCTCACCTCTTGTCTTCCTCACTCGGTCCATTTCCCCGCCGTCCCACAGCCCCCAGGCGACAACGGATCCAAAATCACAAACTACCTGCTCGAGTGGGATGAGGTGAGTCCTGCTCCTGATGTCCATCACGTCACTGAATAGACATTAACATTCAGTTCCTTTAATAAGATGTAATAAGTCTGTGAATTATGAGTTATCAATCTTTGTCTCCTAATTTTTTATTCAATCTCTTATTGCAATTAATCTCATACCTCTCCTCCTTCCCTTCCTTGTGACCTCTTGTTTCTTCTCCTCTCCTCTCATTTGTTCTCCTCTCATCTCCTGTATTCTTCCTCTCCTCTTTCTTTCCTCTTCCTCCTCCTCAATCTACTCCTCTCCTCACCTCTCCTCCTCCTTTCTTCTTTTCCTCTCCACTTCCTTTCCTCTTCCTCCCTTCTTCTTTTCCACTCCTCTTCCTCCACTTCTCCTTTCCTCTTGTTTCCTCTACTCTACTCCTCATCCCTCTCTTCTTCTTCTTCTCCATCTCCTCTCCTCTTGTTTCTTCTCCACTCATTTCCTTTCCTCTTCTCTCTTCTCCTCTTCCTCCTCCTCTCTCCTGCAGGGAAAGAAGAACAGTGTTTTCAGAGAATGTTACTTTGGGAGCCAGAAACACTGTAAGGTGACACGACTGTTTCCCGCCTGTGGCTACACGTTCAGAGTGGCTGCGCACAACGACATCGGCACAAGGTACAGTTGCCTGAAAACACAAAATCACATACAATGCACTCTGCACAAATCATCATCATAAAAAAACGAGCACAGACGTCATAACTCTTCTTGTTCCTTGTTGTAGGAGCGCAGGTTTATTGAAATACATGACAGCTTTTCTACCTGACACTTACACCTGTGAGATCTCAGCCATATTTTTAGAAACCACAGATACTGACACCTATGGCAGCCGAATGAGTCAGTGTCACCACATCCTGCACTGAACCCCCTGCACCAGCTAATCTATAGCTATTACTTTATTATTCATGTGAGACGGGTCCTCTCTCCACCATTTCCCCTCGTTCTCTCCTCCCTGTCATTACCGTGCGGAGCATCTCGTCTGCAGTTGTTAGGGGAGGAGGAGGGGGAGGGGAGGGGAGGGGAGGTGATGTGAGCTCAACTCGGAGCGGCCTTAATGCATCCTCCATCCCGAGTCCCCTTTGAAGCCGCGGACACACACACACTCGTGCAAACCCCCCCCCCCCCCCCCCCCCCCCCC